AAATGCTATTATCAACATGATTTTTAAACACAATTATTGCAGTAATATATTAGTATTATTTTGAGGAAGGTAGTTATAGTTATAATTTAGTTAACTGTCTGGATATTGTTTTTTATGCAAAGACCAGCCTGCGCCCGGTACCCATTCGCACTGGTAGTATACTTTTGGGTCATATTTATCAGCAATATATCCATCCCGGGAGCAAAAGTAGTCAATCTCATCATATGGTGTAGTATGTGTGGTGGGTTGTATGGTAGTATTTGACCAGGTAGTTGTTGGCAAAAGATCTTCATATTTGCATTCATAGGAATTCTTACCCTTTCCGTTAAGCATTGAATACACTTTTTTGAGGAGAGGGTTATCACCGCCTGTGCATCGATTCAAAAAGTCATCGTAATCTACAGCCATAATCATAGCCCCTCTCAAACCCATGCTCTTCAGAAATGTCATCTTAAGTGACAACAAAATTCATATGAGTTTACAATTGACTAAATGATCATTCATTACATTCATTACTTTGCATTCAATACTGTTTTCATCCTCATATCCAATGAACATGTTATTAGACCAGCCATAGGGAGCCATATAGTAATGATCGTAAGATATTTTCCATTCCTTGTAATCTTTCATCACTAACTCACAAATCTGTTCAATAGATTTATGATTAAAAATTATTTTTAAAAACTCTTATTTATCTCTCAATTTATAAATTGTAATCAAAAATTCTACAAAGCATTGAATAGGATGTGCAAGTATTTCAAATATTACAACCTTTAAAATAAGTTATTGAAAAAACAACATTTCAAATATTGTTTCCTAAAGATGATGTAAATAAATACAAACCTCATTATAACCTAATAAACCTTCTTCTTGTGATATGGGACCGGCGGGTGACATACATTTGGCCTCATCATGAATACGACACTGAGTTGAGCTTAATATAGTCCAGGCCCTGCCATAAAAAGGCACTCCCATCACCATCTTATCCTTCCTAAGGCCCAGTTGTAAGTAATAATTGATAGT